TTTTTTTTTCTAACTTTTTATAAGTGGAAGGGAAGAGGATGAGAGAAGGGAGGATGAGCTGAGCAAGAAGCCATTTCTAGGAAATGGCATTTCTGCTGTAAGCGCTGGACCAAGTACCAAATGTAGGGAAGAGATCCAAAGGAATATATTGGCTTCCCTAGGGCTGCTGTCAGAAAGCACCACAAACTGGGTGGCCTCAAACAACAGACGTTTAGTGTCTCACGGTTCTGGAGGCTGGAAGTAAAAAATCACAGTGCCGGTAGGGCACACTTCTGCTGCAGGCTCCCGGGAGACCCTCTGTGCCTTTTGTAGCCTCGGTGGCTTCCGACAGCACGACTCTAATCTCTGCCTCTGTCTGCGCGCGGCCTTCTTTTCTGTGTCTCTCTCTGTCACCTCTTCTTCTTATAATGACACCAGTGGTGGATTTCGGGGCCACCCTAAATCCAGGATAATTTCACCCGGAGATCCTGCACTAATTTTAACTACAAAGACCCTATTTCCAGATAAGGTCACATTCTAAGGTTCCAAGTAGACATGAATTTGGCAGGGGAAGGGGCACACTATTCAACCTGCCTCACAGGAAAACTTTTTTTTTTTTAAATTGCTTAACGTATCACAGACAGCCACGTGGCAAAAAATATTGATACAAAAAGTATGAAGGGACCTAGAGAAAAGCAAGCTTCCACTGGTTCCTGACCCTTGATCTCATCACTGATTACTGCTATTAACTTTTTTTTTCTTTTTCTTTTTCTTTTTTTTCAGAGACAAGGTCTCACTGTTTTACTAAGGCTGGTCTCCGACTTCTGGGCTCAAGTGATCCTCCTGCCTCAGTCTTCTGAGTAGCTGGGATTACAGATGCAAACCACCATGCCTGGCTACTTTCCTCCCACTTCAGCCTCTCAAAGTACTGGGATTAAAGGCATAAACTGGCCAGGCTTGGTGGCTCATGCCTGTAATCCCAGCACTTTGGGAGGCCGAGGTGAGCAGATCACTTGAGGTCAGGAGTTGGAAACCAGCCCGGCCAACATGGTGAAACCCTGTCTCTACTAATAATACAAAAATAGCCATGCGTGGTGGCAGATGCCTATAATCCCACCTTCTCAGGAGGCTGAGGGCAGGAGAATCGCTTGAACTCGGGAGGTGGAGGTTATAGTGAGCTGAGATAGTGCCACTGCACTCTAGCCTGGGTGATAGCACAAGACTCCGTCTCAAAAAAAAAAAAAAAGAAAAAAAAGCATAAACCACTGCATCTGGCATAGATGCTTGTCTATATAGTCACATTTATCTTTTATGTGTACAAATGAACCCTGCCTTTTAATTTACCAATGCATGTAGGAGATCTTTCCACATCTGTTCACATGAATTTGCCTCCTTTGGTTTAATGTCTGCATAGGATATCATTGTTTGATAGGCCATAGTTTTTTAATCAGTCCACTTTAAGTGGAAATTTAGGTGTTTTTTTGTTTGTTTTTTGTTTTTTACTATTAATAATGTTACAATACTTTTTTTTTTGTACTTGCCTGCCACTTTAAAAAATGTTTCTATTTTGAAATAATTATAGATTTACATGCAGTTATAATAAATAATACAGAGAGATCCCATAGACCCATTACTGAGTTTCCCAAGTT